CCCTCCCTCCCCTCCCCCACCCCGTGCTGCTGGTCTTCCCTCCCTCCCCTGCCCATCCTCAGCTTTGCAGGGGCCCTTTGCCTCGGTCCCTTCCACACTGCGTCCTCTGCATGACTCCAGCACAGGGCCGCTGACTCCCTCACCACCATGTGGGCAGACAGGAGGACCTCTGCTGGCCCAGGGCTGCCTGCCACCTTTGCCACTCACTCTCTGTCCCACAGGGAACTACGTGGTAACGGACCACGGCTCCTGTGTCCGGGCCTGTGGGCCCGACAGCTATGAGGTGGAGGAGGATGGCGTGCGCAAGTGTAAAAAGTGTGAAGGGCCCTGTCGCAAAGGTAGGGACCTGCGGGGCAAGGCCCAGACCTTCTTCCCAGACCTGGCACTCACAGCCAGCCCCAGATGAACACACCACCCTTTTAACTAAAAACTGGAAATTGTATCTTCTTCCCAGCACTTCGGATTAAACCCAGGGCTGTCAGCTGAGCTCCATCCCAGCCCTTTTCACTTTTTGCAATAACATCTTTAAGTCATTAAGTTGCCCAGGCTGGGCTCAAACTTGAGATCGTCCTGACCCTGCCTTCCAGAGTGCTGGGATTACCTGAGTATACTGTCACATTGTCTCAGGATGGAAGCTAAAGCTGTGACAGCAGCTCAGGACCTCAGAAAGGCACTGTCCAGGGAGCTCTGTGGGCAGAGACGGGGGTCACCAGGGCAGCCATACCTCAAGTAGGGGAGCTGGATGGGCTGTGACAAGGACACAGGGTGGCACCTGCCCATAACGTGGTGCACCCCGAGCCTTCCAAGCCCTGCTGGGGAGCCCCAGTGTCTGTCAAGTGACTATGTAACCGCATGGAGGGGCCATGTGTGGCCAGGGCTCTCCTAGCAGGAGCCCCTCTCTGCATCTGCTGCTGCCTGCAACCCCCCTTGTGTCATTCTTAATGCAGCCAGTTGAGTGAAACCAAGCTCTCTCCCCTCAGTTTGCAGTGGAATAGGAATCGGGGAGTTTAAAGACACACTCTCCATAAATGCCACAAACATCAAGCACTTCAGGAACTGCACGACCATCAGCGGTGACCTGCACATCCTCCCTGTGGCGTTTCGGGGGTGAGTGGCCCTGGCCCCTCCCCTAGAGAAGAGCAGCCTGCTTGGCACTCTGGTGCGGGGTGGGTGACGCTGCTGTCCTTGTAGGGATTCCTTCACTCGCACGCAGCCCCTGGACCCCAAGGAGCTGGACACCCTGAAGACGGTGAAGGAGATTACAGGTCTGTGCATGCCGTGGCCCCCATGGGGCTCAGGACTCCCAGGAGGGCTCAGCCCAAGCTGCCTTCTCCCCTGGCACAAGACACTGCCCTGAAATTCCATTCAGGGTTAATTTACTGAGAGCTTCAAAAATGCAGTTGCACCTACAGGCAGCAGGTGAACACGGAAGCCCAGGCGGGAGCCTGTGTCTTCCCTCACTCTCTGTGTCAGCCTGGCCCTGCCAGCCACAGAGGGAGGAAGGCAAGGGTAGGGCAGCATGGACTCTGGGACTCAGAGCCAGAGATTGTCCCGGCCTGGATCCCACAGAAACAGGCTGTTTGGGGTGGAGATAAACAAGGAAATCTTCGACTTCCTTGTAGCAACTGCTCCATTACTGACAGCTCTAGTCAGAGAAAAACACGAGATGAAAAACTGAATGCTTCAATTTTTAAAATGTATTGCAGCACGGGCACACTGCCATGAGTCCCCCCAACTTCTGCTCCCTCTTCAAACACACGCATCCCATCCTTCTTACCACTTCCTGCAGCAACTCGGGAGTCCTCTTTCCTGGGGATCTTTAATTGTACTGACCTGGTTGCTGTGACGCCCCAAATGTTTCTTTCTTGGTCATTTTGACTTTGGGCAAGACCCAGAAGTCACGTGGCTGGATCCGTGAATGAGGTGGACAAGGATACAGCGTCGCTTCACAAGCTGCCTTCCCGTTGGCTGGCGCTCTGCAGCAGCATTTGCTGTGCTTTGCTCATACTTTGCAGAGACCCTCGGGAAAGAGCACTCCAGAGCTGCTGCAGAGCAGAAGTAGGAAGGGATGGGTGTGCTTGGAGCGCAGGGAGGGTTGAGCTGGCCTGCACTGCACATGTGCCTGCCTCCTCTGTGAGAGGGAGGCCCTGCTGCTCCCCACGTGGCAATCTCAGAGATCCCCAGATGCTGTCCTCTGGAAGGAGCAGCCCCGTCTGAGCCCTTTTCTGCCTCCCAGGGTTCTTGCTGATTCAGGCTTGGCCTGAGAACAGGACCGACCTCCATGCATTTGAGAACCTGGAAATCATCCGCGGCCGGACAAAGCAGCAGTAAGTTGACCACAGTGAAGCTGCCTGGATTTGAGTATGTCTTATTGTTTTGGAATGAGACAGTGCAGAGACTCCTAGTGCATCTTTCTGGGTTCCCTTTTCATGACTGCCTGACATACCCAGGCCAAAGGTCCTTGATGGGACCTAACAGCGCTGCTCAGCACTGTGTCTCCCTTGCATCCCTTTGTCCTATCTCAGCGTCCAGCCAGGCCCCCACTGCACTTAGCCCTAGCTCTGCAGTTCTGTCCTCTCCTATGCTCTGTGGCTGGGAGATAGGCCCAAGGTGTGTGCAGTGTCCCTGTTTCTGGCTGATGTCCTACCATGCCGTAGAGGTTTTGCATATTTGCTTACTCCATCAGGGAGCAGAGAGACTTGCTATTACTAGGTTTTCCCCAAGATTTACACTGTTGTAGCTCTGAAGGTGAGAGAGAGAGAGAGAGAGAGAGAGAGAGAGAGAGAGAGAGCCAGAGAAAGAGAGAGACAGAGAGAGAGACACACAGAGAGACAAAGAGAGAGAGAGAGAGAGAGAGAGAGAGAGAGAGAGAGAGAGAGGAGAGCACAGCACAGCACAGCAGAGAGATTGGTCTTGAGACTGAGCCTGCATTATAAACCACCATGGGCACTGCTACTCACACACCCCTGAAGGACCAAGCCATGCTGCCCAGCGAGAAAGAACATCAGAAGCTGCACACAGCAAGACTCTTTGCCTTCCAGGCCCTGCGCTGGCCCAAGGCCTCTGCTACCAAGCGCAAGCTGCTGTCCTCCCCGAAAGGCACTTCACCCAGGCTCTTGAGACGTGCTCTGCCAGTCCTGCAGACTCGAGGGCTTGGAGCAGGGTTTCAGGTGGCTGCTCTGCGGCACTCATGTTACTATCAGGGCTTTGAGCAGACAAGAGCTGTTTCTTTTCCTACTTGAATGAGAAGTGCAGTGGGGCCAGCCTGGGGCCAGCCTGGGATCATGCATCTCCCAGGCCCGCTCTGCCTGTGGGAAGACTCCGCCCACCCTGTGCCACAGTGGCCCTGGGCATGTGCACACGGGCTGTGGCAGAGGCTAGGACGTGGTCTCACAGCCAGCAGAATGATGACAGCACAAGGGGACTGCTTGACCTCCCTGCCTGCCTCAGAGGTGAAGGGCGCCACCTGAACAGGGAGTGTGTTTCCACCTGCAGGTGCTGAGGCGTGGTTGGCGCCATGGGGCTGAACATGGCCTGTGTCCCCCGTGTCCCAGATGCCCTTCTCAGTTGGCTCTCTTCCCCCTCAGCGGTCAGTTTTCTCTCGCTGTGGTTGGCCTGAACCTGACGTCCCTGGGTCTGCGCTCCCTGAGAGAGCTCAGCGATGGAGACGTGATCATCTCAGGAAACCGGCATCTGTGCTACGCCAGCACCATTAACTGGAGAAAGCTGTTCGGGACCGCCAGTCAAAAGACCAAAATTATAAACAACAGAAGTGAAAGGGACTGCAGTAAGTAACCCATGTCCTGTGCCCGTGTGAGCAGGCCCTGCAGGTTGTTAACTTTGAGGTTGAACGTTTCAGTCACGTTTTCTGTTCCTTAAGAAGCAGGCTGCAATTTGCACTGTCCTAGTTACGGGTTCCTGTGAGACTCCCAGAGCTATCTCCAGGGCCTGCGCCCTCATTTCCTGGCCCTAGGTAGGAGCTCCTGGTAGGTTCTCATTTAAGGAGCTAGGTTAAGGAGTAGGTTTTAAGTTAAGGAACACTGGCGGCTTCCCATGACATTTTGCACTGAGTCTGCTCCCTGCTCACGTCAGCCTGTCAGCTTGCTCTGGTGATGGTGGGCATGCACACTCCACACACGCCGACTAGCGGCCTCCGCATTAACAACTTCACTTCCCATCTAAGCAATTCAGGCAGCCCTTGCAGCTGGTGGGTACAGTCAGGCTGCCCTCCAGGAGAAGCTGACCTGAATTCCAGTGCTGGCCAGTCTCTCCCAGGCTTTCTACTTCGGCCCAGTGTCCTTACTCTCTCAGAACTCGGATTCCTCATCCATGGAATGGCTTTGCTAGGCTGGGCAGGGTGGTGTGCTCCTGGGAGGCTGAGGCAGGAGGATCACAGTTTGGAACCCACCCTGGGCAACTTCCCAAGACCCTGTCTCTAAACATTTATGTATGGGATGGGGAACAGGAAGGAGCTGAGTTCCCAGGCTCCAAGTTCAGTTCCCAGTGCTGGGGAAGAAAGAGGCTGTGATAATTTCCATGTCAGCGTGCTACTTAGTTCAGCCAAATTCCATGGCATTTGTCACAGGGCAGAAGCCAGGTCTGTCCCTGAAGCAGGCCTGCTGTGACCCAGGCCTGCTGCTTCAGGGCCCATCGACTGCCCACACACAGCTGGCAAAGTGCAGTCTTCTCAGCTGCTGACCTTGCCCCTGCCCCTGCCGCTCTGTGTCTTCCAGGGGCCGAGGGCCATGTCTGCCACCCACTGTGCTCATCTGAAGGCTGCTGGGGCCCTGAGCCCCGGGACTGCGTCTCCTGCCAGAACGTGAGCCGGGGCAGAGAGTGTGTGGCCAAGTGCAACATCCTCGAGGGGTGAGACCTGCTGCATTGTCCCCATGCCTGCCCAGGCTCTGGTTGTTTGCAGGGCTGTTGAAGAGCCAGTGTTCAGATGGACTCTTCTTGTCCTGCTGTTAACTTTGGTCTGCATGTATGCTAAACTTCAAGCACTTTTTCCGTTACTTACACCTGCCAAACAATTTATTGAGTCTTTTCCTAAAGACATCTTAAAGTTTTCTAATTGGTGCAAAGGTTCTGGTTGCCAGGGCATGGCGGCAGGTGACCTGTGTGGCCCACATGCCCTGGGTGCTGTCAATCTGCTAACACAAAGATGCCTCCTGCTCCATACTGCTCGCTGTGCCTCCCAGGTGGGCACTGGACACAGGGCAGTGCAGACGTCTTGGGCAGCAGCAGGTGCAGAGTGAGCAGTAGTGTGTGGGACGCCTGCAGAGCTGAGAGGCAGTCAGTGAGGCGCACGGTCTGCAGAGCTGAACATTCCAGCACTGGTGGGAAGTTTTCCACAACTAAATTAATTGGAAAATCGAATTGTAGGGTAGAGAGAGGTAGAGGCAATTCTAAAATATAAAAGAGAATCATGACTTGGATGGAGAGGAGCCTGAGGAGTTGCAGGTGGCCATGGCAATCTCCCTTTCTGCTTGGGTCCCGAATTCCAGGAGCAGGTGGGGAAGCCCGAGTTACTTATTTGCTGACAGGCTCAGCACAGTCTGTGTCCTTGACAGTCCTATGTCCACTTCAAGGGAGGAATGTCTGACTACAAATATCCCTGTTTTGAGTTCTCAAGTGTCCTTTGACATACAAGAAAATTAAAATAAGCAGACTCAGAAGCCAGGTCCCCCCATCAATGTGGAGGACCCTGGTATCAGCGGCATCGGCTCCCTCTGCAGCCTGGCTGTTCAACTGTGACCCCAAACACTGCTGTCTTGTGTGGTTTTGTCGATGCCACTTGTCTGAAGGGTGACTGGAGGCACAGATCTCAGGTGTGAGCCATTCTGCGCCCTGCTCGGCACAAGGACCGTCAGCTGATTCCCAGCAGATCCAGAGTGGCTGAAGACCTGACAGGGGCAGCGCACCTTGTAGTGCACATCTTGGTGAAAGCCCCGAAAGCACTGCAAGGAAAAGCCTTCACGTTGCGTTGAGCACTTCCTGCTCAGGGGAGTGACCGCCGCACAAGTCTGAGCCGAGTCTCTTTCCCGGCCCTCGGCCTGCGGTCCTGTCTTCTCTCCCCTTGGCCTAAATGTCAGCGGGTCTGCTATCAGAGGCAGGGGCACCTGAGCAGGCCTTTTCGTCGTTGTTGTCTTCTTGCCCAGGAAACAGAAACTGCTGTAGCGGGAAGGGGCCACGCTGTAAAGGGACCTTTCATGGTAGTTCCTTGGGCTGAGCAGGGACCCGGGTACAGTGCTAGCGCCCAGCTCTGTGACCTCTGCTGAAGGGATTTTGAATTTCAGGGGGAGGTGCTCTGCACTCCAAAGCTCACCCGCCTGTCCAGAAGGGCCAGCTGACAACCTCCCTCCTGCTTCCCCAGGGAGCCCAGGGAGTTCGTGGAGAATTCCGAGTGCATCCAGTGTCACCCAGAGTGCCTGCCCCAGTCGATGAATGTGACCTGCACCGGCCGGGTAAGGGTCCTCTGCCACCTCCACTTGGATGTGGGGAGCCTTCCCCAAGCCCTATGGGGAAGGAGTCTGGGCCCCTTGCGGAAACACACACAGGAGGGTGCTGCAGGAACAGAGCGGCTGAGTCTGAGGCCAGGTAGGAGGCGCCTGTCTGTGCCCAGCCCACAGTGCCACCTAATTCTTCTCATCCGGCACCACAGGTGGCGGCTGAGGCCATGGGTAGCCATTTCCTGTTTCTAAATCTGCTGCCACGCTGTTCCCGCATCAGTCAAATCTTATCAGAGGCTTACTAACCACTAAATCAGTCGGAGAATCATTCGTGCACTCCTGCCAGAGCTTAAATTCACCTTGAGGCCTGCACATCCAGGATTAGTCTTGCAAGGAACAGAACGTGAATGCAGGTCCTGCTGACCCGGCAGCCTGCGTTCTGACTTCCTGGTGTCACACGTGGGGCACTCTAAGCAGCCACACCTGAATCCACCACTGGAAAATGCTTCTCAGTTGTCGGGAGGGTAGCAAGACTGTGTTTGAAGGCCTGGGCTGTAGGTTACTAAGGAATCCATGGTCTGTGTGTTGGAATGGTGTCGGGCTATGTTTTCATCACTACAGGAAACTGATTGGTGGCACCAGTGTTACCTCCAGCCTCTGTTGAGTGGTTCCCTGAGCCACTGTCTCATGGCTGGGATCCAAGCCCAGACTCCTGTAACTTGCAGGGGGGAGGACGATCTTGGTTCATGGCGTCAGCTCTCAGCTGGCCAGCGTTAAGCCAGGCGCATCATAGAAGACAACCACTCACCCTCAGAGGCCAGGAAGCAGCGAGGAGCGGGGAGCCTCACAGGTCACCCCAGTGCTGGTTCCCATCTTAACTGCAATGTGCCACCCCCCATCCAGTGACTGCCCCAAAGCCCGCCCATGACCACAGGAGGTGCAGAGACCTCTAGATCCAAGCCACCACAGTGAGCAGGCAGAGTGGAGCACATCACCAGGGCCAGCTCCCTACAGGGCAGAAGGTGAAAAGCAGCCCCACAGCCCAGGGCTTTTGTTTCTAGGGTTCTGCTGGGTGTAGTAGGAACAAAAGTAAGAAGAGAAGTATGCACTGGGGCTATAGCTCAGGGGTAGAACATGCACCCAGCAGAAGCCCTGGGTGTAGTCCCCAGGACCATGAAGACAAATATAAATCTATACCAATCAAGGTGGCTGTGGGAAGATCCCCATACAAAATACCAAGAAAGGCAACACAGTATTAAAAAATTCTTTTTTCTTTTCTTTTTTTTTTTTAATCCTATGATTCAACCTAGAACCTTCACACTGAGCTACATCCCTAGCCTCTTTTCTCTGTTTTAAGATAGGGTTTCACTAAGTAGCTAAGTTGGCCGGGCTGGTCTGGAGCTTTTGATCCTCCTGCCTGAGCCTCCCACAGTCTGGGGTGAGGGGAGTGTGCCCCCACACCCAGCTGAGTCATTTCTTTTACAGCTGTGTACATGATGTGCATTTAAACCAGGAAGATTATGTTCAGATACTAGTAGTGGCTGTATCAGTCAAGAGCGCTCCTAAAAGAACTTGTTTCCTACTGTAGGAACTTGCCCTATCATTCAGCCTTTCCCTCACACAAGTATGTCAGGTGAAAAGCTAATTCTGCCTCAAAAAATAAAGAAGCACGAACAGACTCCTTCCTGTGCTCCACGCAGGGTCCTGACAGCTGTGTCCAGTGTGCTCACTATACTGACGGCCCCCACTGTGTCAAGACCTGCCCTGCTGGGATCATGGGGGAGAACAACACACTGGTGTGGAAGTACGCGGATGCCAGCCGGGTGTGCCACCTGTGCCACCCCAACTGCACCTACGGGTGAGTGGGCCCGGGCCACACCCCACCCGGGGGCACACAGAGCACAGGTGCATCCCCCTGCACTAGGCGGTCAGTGTCCCAAGCCCCAGCAACAGCTTCCAACTGTGTCCTCAAGTGGGCACTGCTGCTGTGGTGGCCCCACGGTGTGGCAGCCTCAGGGCAAGCTGGGCACAGGTCTAGGTGCTGGGAACAGCTCCATCTCTCAGCTGGGTCCTCAGTGCTGGCAAGCTCTGGTCACTGAGAGGCTGGAGGAGGCCATCCACAGCCATGAGACACCCTGTCCATCCCTCTTCATGGGAACAATATCCCAGGACCCCCCTCCTCTCCTGTCCTAGCTCGGGAGCAGCCACGGCTCCCACAGGTGGCTGTTCAGGGTGAGAAGCCTGGGGCCACAGGGGCTCTGCAGGCTACCCTGCCCTCACCTCCTTGGCCTGCAGCCACTCTGCATCCTGGCTCCCTCCATCTCCCCATGCACCCTGATACCTGGAGCCAGTGGGGAACCTCTGTGGCACTGGAGTGGACAGCCTATGACAACCCTGCCTGGCACTTACCAGCTCCCTCCAGGCCAGGCCAGCATGCCAGGGTGCAGACACTCACAGGGTCTGCAAGCATATGTTGAACTCTAGAGCAGGCAGCTGTGAGGCACTGGGGCTCCGGAGTCAGGGTATCACTCCTGCACATTGCCCTATGACTTAGAGGAAAATCTCCACAAACAAATGCTAAAGGACAGTGAGAAAAATGTGTTTCTTTTTCATTTCCTGCAGATGTGCCGGGCCAGGTCTGGAAGGCTGTGGTGTACCAGACGGGTGAGGGGCTCAGCTCTTCTCTGCTGGATCCTGTCCAATAAAATAAAGTCATTTCTGACCGTCTGCCCTAAGCCATTTTCATCCTCCTCCTCTTGTTCTCCTCCTCTCCTTTCCTCTTCTCTTTGTCCTTCTTCTATTAGTGAAGATGGAACCCAGGGCCTCAAGCTGAGCTACATTGCCAGCCCATTTAATATTTATTTTGAGACAGTGTTTCCATGTGGCTGGGGTGACAGGCCTGTGGTGTCCAGCATCTCAGGCTGTCCTCCAGGCCCATCTGCTGGTCACATCTGAGCTTGTTGACCTGGTTCCTATTAGCGGGACTGGGAGAAAGTACAGGCTAGCCCTGGAGCAGCTGCCAGGCCTTCCATCGCTCTTGGTGGGCAAAGGCACCTCCCCTGGCCCTGGTTTTCCTCAGCCTTATTGTAGCCTTCCCTTCTGCTTCTCTGCTGAGGCTGAGATTAGGGCATGGTGGGGCTGACCATGGGAGGTAAGAAGCATTGATCACAGAATCCTGGGACACGTGGGTGGAGCAGGGCGGCTCTCAGCTCCTGTGAGAACTGGAGCAGATTTTTGATGGGACAGCCCAGCCCTGACACTGGGAGGAGTGGATGACACCAGAGAATGTCCACCCTGAGCTTGTACTACCCTGTTTGTGCCTGGTGGCTGCCCCCAGACTGCCTGGTGTTCTTCCTATTTTACTGGGGCCAAACTCATTCTGCAGAGCTGGCTTCTTTTGCTACATGTAGAGAACTTTGTTACTGCTGTGTGTGCCTTGACCACTTCTTTGCTTAGAACAGAAAGAGCCTAGAAACTACCTCCAGGAGGAGACTAGTACCCTGTAGTAACCTGGTAACGGTTCCACCACCAACCGGCACCACACCAGCTTCTCCGCAGGGTGGCCAGGCTGGGCAGTCATCTTCTTGCATCCCTCTCGAAAGGGGTCATCAGCGAAGGCATCTCACCACAGACCCCACTGCCACTGTGGCTTGAAACGTGGCACTGAGGGAAGCAAAGCTGCCGTTTCCGGCTCCCACCCTCTGCCACGGCTGGCTCTGCCTGCAGAGCCCCCTCATGGGCTCCTCCTGGGCTGCAGCCCACCATGCTCGGCCCACGCCTGCTGGCGGCTGCTGATTATACCTGGCCTCAGGTGGACCCAGAACGAAGCGAGGCACCCCCTGGGTCAGAGCCTCCCTCCTGTCCGGCTGCGCTACACCAGTGAGGCCCCAGAAACACTTCCGAGCACCTTACTCCAGGCTCGGTGGCTACTGGCAGGGTTTCTGGTCATGTCCACACTTGAACCCAGCAGAGACCATTGCTTGTTTGAACTCACTCCCTTAATTTTCTTCCCCCTCAGTTCTTCCGGTACTGCTGCAGCTCCCTGCGGAACTCCTGCTCTTGTCAGATCACCCGTCTCGCAGCATCCCCTTCAGAGTAGTAAAAGCCCAAATGGTGTCAGCTGGGACTCAGTGCATGGTGCAGGAGATGACTTCTTCCCCACCAGGGAGAAGCATGCTGTGCAGTGTCATTTTCATGGGGCAGGTGACCCACCTAGGAGGCAGGTGCGGGCTAGCACCCCAGCATCTCCGATTATGCAAATGGTGCTGCTGGCTACTCTTTGCTCTTCGTTAGCATTTCTACCTGAAAATAAGGGTCAATCTGCCAGGAACCCAAATAGGATTCTTAATAACCCCAACACTGCAAGGCCCCAAAAGGTCATGAGCTAACTTCCTAGAGACTTCCTGGGGAGCCTGAAGTTTGGCTTGGGAGCTTCCCCCGTGAGGTTGGCCCTGTGTGGCAACCTCACACAGGACCATGGTGCTGCTTTTCACAGCTCAGTCCCAAGGCCTGCGACCTCAGGTCCTATCTGGAGGCCCAGGGCTCTGGTGGAGTCTCAGCTGCCTGCCTGGCTAGGAGACAGTGTCTACCTGGGCTCCTCCACTACTCAGCCCGCTCCAGGAAGAATAAAGTCAAAATCACATAAAAGCTCTGTAGAAGCCTGAATCATTGCAAATTATATGTTTCTCAGTCAGTAGATTACAAAGTAGGTACCCTGTGGATAAGGGCTCCGAGACTTCAGTTTTGGGGGTGGGGAGAGGTGGAGAATGATGCGAACACCACTCTCCCTTGGGTGCTGTGCAGCCCACCTCCAGGGATTGAAACGATGGTGCTGCGCCAGGCGCAGGGAATATGTGAACATCAGCATCACAGGCTCTGTCTCTCCCTCACTGCAGGCCCAAGATCCCCTCCATCGCCACAGGGATTGTGGGTGGCCTCCTGCTGCTGGTGGTGCTGGGCCTGGGCATTGGCCTCTTCATGCGGCGGCGTCACATCGTCCGGAAGCGCACGCTTCGCCGGCTGCTGCAGGAACGAGAGGTGAGCGTGCTGGAGCCTTGCTGGGAGACTGAGTGTGCACCGTTTTGTGGTTCCCGGGCCTTCGGGTAGTTTCCCATCGCTGGAACACATCCAAGACAATCGAGCTACAAAGGGGGAAGGTTTATTCTGCGTCCTCCCAAGTCTTCAGTCTGTAGGGACAAGCCGTCCCTCTGGGCCTCTGGCCAGTCATCCCACAAGAGCGTGCGTGGCCCTCAAACTCACAGTCTCCTGCCAGGAAGTAGGCAGAGAAAACAGGGGTGCCCTGTCCCTTTCACTATGCACGCAGGGGTGCGCCCTGCCCACAGAAGGGGCAGCACCTCCTCAGAGCATGCGTGCAGTATGCTTGTGTAGATCCCGAGTCAGGATTGCATTGTGGGAGCCGTGCCAGGGGACATCCTATGTCTGCCTGCCTGTACTTGGGGTCGCACGCTGCTATCTCGGGCCCAGCAAGCATCAGTTTTCCAGACTGAGTTGTGGCCTCTGCTGCATCAGAGGTACATGCTGCTACTGGCTCCAGGAAGGGCTCCACTTGAGCCAGGGTCACGCTGGATGGTCCACTGTCTGCGCAGTGGCTCCTCCTTCTCAGGCTCTGGCTGGCAGTGCCCTCCATGCTGCCTCTGGAAACCTTTGTCCCTAGGCAGCAGATGTCTCTATGCCATGGGCCCTGCAGGCAACAAAGATGCCATAGGATGAACATGTCCCTCCAGGTTTCCTGCCAGCAGGTTGCCATGGAGATGAGACAGCATGTGTTGGATGTGCTCCTCTCATGCATGCTCTTGTCTGTTTCTCTTTCTACTATATTTTATTTTTGTTTGTGTGTTTGTGTTACAGGACTAAGGTAGCCTAGGGCCTGTGCACTAGCTACATCCCCCACCCTTCATTTGTTTTTGTATTTATTTATAAATTTAGAGACAAGCTCTCACTAAATTGGGAAGTCACTTCAGGGCCCACACTGGGATCCTCCTGCTTCAGCCTCCAGAGAACTGGGCAAGGAGGAGTGCTCCAGCATGCCTGGTGTGTCGGGCTCCTCAGAGGAGGCGCCGTTGCCTTCTACACCACCATGCCGAGCGCCAGGCCTCATCTGCACGGCACCCTAGCACCCAGCACTTCACACCTCCCCTTCTCCTTGCAGCTAGTAGAGCCCCTAACGCCCAGCGGAGAAGCCCCCAACCAGGCTCTCCTGAGGATCCTAAAGGAGACAGAATTCAAGAAGATCAAGGTTCTGGGCTCCGGAGCGTTTGGCACGGTCTACAAGGTAGGTCCCTGGGGCCCTTGGCATGGAGAGCGCAGGCCCTGGCATGCTGTGTGTGACCAGACCCTTGGCTAGAGAGAGCCCTTCCTGCCTTATTGAGGCCCAAGAAGTTCATACTTATAACCCCATAGAAAAGTTACTGGAATTCGATTGAGTTACTTCCAGTCTACCACTTCCAGTGCAACCCTACGCAAGCTTGAAGACACTAAGGAGTGTTTGTGGTTATGGGGAACCAAGGGGTCCTAAGTCCAGCTATGACGGTGGCTGTGTGGAGCAAAGCCTTGACCCAGGGTGGAACCCAAGGGTTGTTAATTTATGAAGAAAGCAGTGGCTGGAGGGTGCATGGCTGTGAGAACGGCAGGAAGGGCATGAGTGCTGAGAGCTGGGCTGGGTAGATGGCCTGAAATTACCTGTACAAGGTGCGGAGAGAAGGCTACGCAGAAGGAGTAACCTCCATAACATAACTGAATTAATGTTATGGGGTTGGCGCTTCAGCTCTGATGTGCAGTCTTTTATGCCCTGGGAAGACATAGCTTCTTATTCGAGGTTCACCCCAGATAACAGCATAGAGCACGGATGTCCATCCCACTCTGGCTCACACGTTTTCTTTGGGAGCCGTGGGGGTGGAGAAAACATTTTTGCTTTAAAGACTGCATGTCAGCACCTCAGCTGGACCGATTTGCATAGTTTAAAGCCAAGTGAGGGGATAAGGAGAAGTCCTAGCAAGCTCTGTACGCATCAATACACAGGCAAAGGGCCAGGCTCAGCCAAGCGGAGACAATCGCCCCTCCTTCAAGGAGAGCGGCCAGGCAGTCCTCCACCCTTGGCGTCTCTAATTTCCACCACCACCTCCTTGGCTGAGGGCTTGGGCATCCCAGGGCTTTTGTGAGTTATTGAGAGGAAAATTTTGTAACCACAGTGACAGGTGCAGGAGCGTTTTATAGACCAGCCATGGTCCTTTTGGGGGTCAGTGGCAAGGAGGGCATGTGGCAGGTGGGGAAGGGGCTGCCTGTCTTGCTTGGGACCTGATGGCCCTGCACCTTGCCTTCTGTCCTGCCAAGTCCAGCTACAGTGAGCCAACCCTCTCCTGCTCTGCAAGGGGTGTGTCACACTGACCTGGCACCGTCCCAGTGTAGTCTCTCAGGCTGGGAGGCCCAGAATGAGAGGGGCTGTGTCACGGGGCTCCCGGCGGGCTTTGCTTCCAGCTGGGCCCTGCCCTCCAGGGCTGTGTGGCCCCTGAACTCACCTGGCACACAGGTCAGCACTGCATGTGTGACCACTGCCAGCTGAGTCCCCTCTCCCCACCCCAGGGACTCTGGATCCCAGAAGGGGAGAAAGTGAAGATCCCTGTGGCCATCAAGGAGCTGAGAGAAGCCACGTCTCCCAAAGCCAACAAGGAGATCCTGGATGTGAGTCCTGCCCAGAGCTGGGCATCAGGAGCCCTGGGCTGGGCCTGAGGTCTGCGGCTCTTGCTTAGGCTTGTTTCCATCACCCTGTCTAAACGCCCGCTTTCCACATCTGCCTGCCTCCTGTATTTGGTACAATCCAGGCCTCTTGTTGAGAAGCTTGCCTCTTCTACCCTGCTTTCCCCCATCCCAAGGACCAGGACTTTGTTTACTTGTTATTTTCCTCCTTTTCTGCAGCACTAGAGCTTGGCACCAGGACCACAGCACTGAGCTGCCCCCACCCGGCCTCCTCACCGCTCTAAGTCTAGGCAGGGCCACACTGAGCCACTAACTCTCCCAGGCTGGGCTTCTGGGGTGCTAAGATTTGGGGCGTACCACCTCCCTGGCCTCAGTTCTTTACTTCAATTATCACCATTGCACCAGCGCTTTCCTCACAGACCTTTGCCAAACCAGCTTGTCGCACGGGCACAGAATTTGCTTACAGGGGAGCCAGCCTCACAGCCGCCTCTGTCGTGCTGCGATTCTCCAGGGACTGTGTCCTTGACTCCTCTGAGCAAAGTGCTGGGTCCTTCAGGCAAGGCACTGAGAGGGGCCTGGGACAAAGCATCCCAAATTCAGCACATTTTGGGGAGAAATGGTGCCTCAAGAAAGCTGCTTGGCCTCAGGAGGCTGGAGTCGGTCATGATGAGTGGAACTCGGGTCTTAGCTTTGGAGGGACCTTTATGGACAATGCCAAAGGTGTACAACATGAGGTCCACTGTATACACTAGTGCCAGGCCAGAGGTGACACATGTCTCCCAGCACTCTGGGAGGCTGGGTCTGGGGCTCACTGCGAGGCCCTGGGTCCAGTCCTAGGACACGTTAAATAAAACCCTGCCCACCCTGCTATCTAACACCAGCCCTGTTGTCAGCTGCCTTGGCGTCTGCAGCATGCGGCTTTCTCCAGCCTTCTGGCCTCCAGCCCAGCAGGGGGCTGTACTCTGCCAGGGAGAGCCAGGTATGAGGCCCCTTCCTAGACAAGACTGAGCCATGGATGCCAGCATTGCAGCCTGGAGCTACTGCAGTCTCGGCTCTTGATCTGAGCCTGGGCAGGTGAAAGGGGCAGAGAGGTGCTTCGGGCCAGGGCAGTGTGGCAAACCTCTGGCATGTGTGCCAGGCGGGCTGCTTGCTGTCGGTGAAAGAAAGGCTCACCATTGCTGGACTACATGAGGGACACAGAGTCAAAAGAAAGGAAAATCACACCTGTGGCCTCCAAGGGCTGTTCTTGCAGCCATGAATGAAAGCCAGGCAGAAACACCCCGTCCCACCCAACCACAGACATCCTGTAAGCAAAGCAGGCAGGGGCCTTTTAATGTGCGTGGACAAGAGACTTTGCCAGAGTGATACCCTCTGTACTCTGATTTTCTCTGGGCAGCCTCCCCCCTTTTCTTACAGTGAGGGTCCCATGATATACTCCTAAAGAAAAGATGGTCAGAATTATTATTGTTCAGTGCACCAGGAAGTCCTAATGTCGATGATACACTTATCAAACAAGATTATATTTCCTTGGAAAGGCTGCAGAGCTGGTGTCAGGCTTGTCAGTGTGCTGTCCAGGCTGTTAACACGGGGTGAAATGGGCCCAGATAGGGGGCTCACTAGGTCGCACCTGCTCTGCTTGAAAGAAGACCTTTCTGCTAGCACACTCCCACCTTCTACTCCTCCAAGCTGACCCAGCAGACCCCCAGTGGAGCCCTGCCTCCTGGAGGAGCCCATGCAGCAGCAGATCTCTGGGGAGGAGCCGGGGTCCAAAGAAGTCTCTGACTGGAGACTTCGGCTGAGATTTCTGGGGTGGAGCAGAAGTCAGAGAGTGAAGGTTTGGCAGGTGCAAGTGCCAGACGCCTCACGGACCCGGTTTTGCCTCTTTTCACCTCTCTCTTGACCTCCTTTTGTGCTCCGTTATTTTGGCTTTCTTCCCCCTAATTGTTCAGGGACATCTTTGATCTTCTCCCAAATGTCAGCTATTGTCAGCTGTTCCAGCTGAGAGGAAAGAAGTGGAGGAGACCTCCAGGCCCGGCTGCTCCTGCAGAGGCGGGGGCTCAGCATCCGGCTGTGGGTGCCGAGAGCCCGCAGGGAGGATATGCAGTTGGCTTCCTCAAAGGGACTGCCGCCCTGAATTGAGAGGCCAGTGCACCCTGGCAGAGTGTGCTTCCCTGGTGTTCTCTGAGTGCGGCCTCGGAGCCAGAGGTGGTCTAGTGGCCCCATGCTCAGTGTCCAGTGTGTGCTGGGTCCTCTGCTCTGCAGAGCAGTCAGGGACGTGGTTAGCTGTCAAGGGTAAAATGTCAGGGGTTCCTCCCCTTGCACAGGCCTTGTCCCAGGAGTTGGGTGCAATGCAACCCTTTCACCCACTCATAATGTAAAGTAGTCATGGATGAGGGAGATGAGCAGCAAAGAGGGACGCAGCCATGCCTCCTGGAGAAGAACAGAGTCGTAAGCTGCCAAAGTGGTCCTGAGCCTCAGAGATGCCCTGGAGGACCCCGCTCCCAGGCAGTGGATTTTGCCCATAGCTGTGGTCACACCGCACCTCCACCTTTTCCAAGACCAATAGTGAAGGACAAAGCTCACTTTAACTGGTCTCCCATTGCGCCCAGGAGGGCGGCAGGAAGCCACACCTGTCTGTCCAATGGGCCGATCATGTTTCAGAAGGATGGAACTTGGCAGGCCCCCATCCTGTGTGGCCAACCCCCCGCCCAGTTCTGTGCTGGTCCGGTCCAGGTTGGCGCCCGCCGCCCACCAAGGCGCAGTGCTCACAGGGCCCGCTTCGCAGACGTTTCTGCCCTGGAAGTGAGAACAGTGCGTGCCCAGACCTCAGGAGACGGGACAGCAGGGGCTTCTCTCTGGGGTGCTTGCAGAGCTCCCCAGACTCAGGGAGAGGCTGGAGTCAAGCCTTGCTGGCATCCTCGGAGGTGGGGGCTGGTGGGCCTTTCCAGGCTAGATGCAGGACAGGAGCGGAGCACACAGCAGCGCAGTGTGACATACCTGCCACAGGGGTGTGAGCTTGTGTGTGCAGCACCCCGTAGCCAGCGGCCCTGCAGCTGTATCTTGGTTTGTGTGTGCAATGCTCTGGGACCCTTGGGGTCCTCTGCCACCCCTGGGTGGGCAGTGGGCTCCAGAGGAGGCAACTGGCCCGGGTTAGGAGCCCAGGCAGGCCTGTCCTGATGTGGAGAGGCGGGCCTCAGGTGTGTGCTACGACTGCGTCTTCTGCAGGCTCCCCGATACTGCACCTTGCAGGCAGAGGGAGGTTTGTTTTACCTCACAGTTTATAGAGGTCTCAGTCTACCAATCACCAGCACCAAGGCCGGGCAACATGCCACCAAGGCTGCCTCAGGAGAGCTGCTCATGTACCCCAGGACCGCCACCCCCTGCAGCAAGCTGGTTCTGCACCCCTAGGGCCCAGTGTCCTTCGTAGCCCCACCACGAGCATGCAGGCTTTAGAGGAACACCTAGACAGAAGTCCCAACCGCGGCCTCAGATGAGCCCTGTGCTGGCTCTACACAGTTCTCTGTAAACAAGAGAGCAACCCCAGAGGGAGTTTTTATGGTGCATGGTGTCCACAAGGATTTGACATCTGCTTGGCTCTTTCCTTTCTCTGAAATGGGGATTGAACTCAGGGCCTTCACACCAAGCTATATCTCCAGTCCCTTAGGACTTCTTTATTTCGACTCCAGGTACTCTAAAGCTGCCAAATTGCCCATCCTGGGCTGAAACTTGCCATGCTCCTGCCTCAGCCTTCCAAGGTGCTAGGATGACAGTATGCATGGCTTATTGTACTCCATAATATCAGTATGTTAATGTCAGTACTCTTGTAATACGAAAAAAAAAAGCGCTCATCCTACCTGGGAACAGATCCCAAACCCTCAGGAAAGTGTCCCGTTGTGTCGCACTGGGACCTGCAGCAATGTGTCACAGTGCTTGCCAGCAGACCCAGCTTGTTATGCACAAGTGCAGGCTGGCCTGAGCTCTTCTAAATCACGCAGACCCAGGTGCAGGAGGACGCACTCTGAGCAGAGGCTTGGACTTCAGTGGGAGCCCCAGGGTTCCTTCCCACAGTGTCCACTCCTGCATGTCCCCTGGGGGAGGCTGGCCTCTCAGAGCTCTCCCGTGCCCAAGGTGGCCTGCAAGAACTATGGGGCTTGCAAGGGTGTTGGATGCTGTGAGCACAGAGACCTCACAAGGAGGGGACAGCAAGAGCTTCCAGGAAGGGGAGGACCTGGGACCGGGGTGCAGCCTGTGCATGTGTCCTGGGTTCAGCCCCAGGCAGTGGGTGAATGAGTGTGGAGTAAGTGCGCAGCCGTGACCTGCATGGGCCCTCAGTGCCCCAGGCTCTCGGCCCTGCTGCGTGCCCACCTGGACCTACAGCCTGGTATCTGGCTCCCCCCACCTGGAGTACATTCTCCTGCAGTACTGAGGTCTCCTTTGCGTCCCAGTGGAGGTCACCACCTCCTTTCGATGGACAGGAGGCCCCTCTGTGAGTAGGACTGTGAACAATACAGCTGTCCAGGCTAAGAATGGCAGAATGGGACTAAACCAGGGTCTGTGTCACAGACCCCCACTTAGGCTGCAGCACAGCAGCCTGCGGAGAGGGGCATGGGGCAGTGTGCAGAGCGGCAAGGGTGCCCACTGGGAGGCTGTCTGCCACATGCACTTCAGAGCCATTGCTGGGATGCCCGAAGTGTATCCCATGACCCCAGGCCCCTTCGCCCACCTCAGGGCAGGCCAGGCTGCTCCTGAGCAGGAGTCTCATCCACTGCCCTGGCTGGGTAGCCCTGCCTGAGCTCTGAACTCTCGTGTGGCACCATGGCCCCCAGGCTGGAGCAGAGTGAGCCCTGCTGGGAGTCCTGGGCCTCTCCTTGGCTGTCACCACCTCAGGGCTCCCTGAGGAGCCACCCAGTGCGCAGACTCAGTGGCACCAAGGGACTCAGCTTCACCCAGCCCTGCTGGCTCCTCACCATGCAGGCCCCCCTCCCTGTGGCTCCCTGGCCTCCATGAGTCCCTTGCACCCCACACCATGTCCCTGGCCCTTTGCCCAGCATAGGCCTGTGTCCGCACCCCGTGGAGCCTCCTGACTTGTGTCCCTGCCTGCAGGAAGCCTACGTGATGGCCAGCGTGGACAACCCTCACGTGTGCCGCCTGCTGGGCATCTGCCTGACCTCCACCGTGCAGCTCGTCACGCAGCTCATGCCCTTCGGCTGCCTGCTGGAGTATGTGCGTGAGCACAGGGACAACATCGGGTCCCAGCACCTGCTCAACTGGTGTGTGCAGATTGCCAAGGTGAGGGGCCGATGGGCGGGCGGGCGGGCGAGCAGGAGGGGACCACAGGGGGAACAAGCAGCCTGCCTGGCCCGAGTGGCTGGCTCAGGGGACCCTCAGGGGTGCTCCTGTGGGGTGTGCTGTCCTTACTAACGGTCAGCTTGGGCTGATCGCTGTGTGCACAGAACCAGTACACACACACACACACACACACAGAGGCACAGATGGGTGTTGGAGCCTGGTGCACAAGTGTGTACAGGTTTGTCTTTCATGGTGCTGGGTACAATTTGAGTTCCTTATCCCCACCTGTCTGGGTTCTTCCCAGGAACACAGTAGTGGCTGGTGGGACAACAGTGTGGCTTCTCCTGGGATTAAGTGGGTAGCCAGGCTGGGATAGCAGGGTCAAGGGAGGCAAGGCTAGAATTGGGCAAAGACGAAGGGCTACCAGGGTGTGGGGGTCCCTGTTGCCAGGGGCTCCCCCAGGGTCCCCATGGCCAGCTCTGCAGAGCAGGTATGAGCCATCTGTGTCTTGTGGGTGGAAGGCATGAAGACACAGCAGATGTTTCAGTTTTTAGAAAATTATCACAGCCAAAAACACGTCACCATGAGCCCCCTCCAGACCTTCCCCTGGCTTTGAACACACCTGTCTCATCAGTCTTGCTGCAGCAGGCCTACAGGTCCAGTTCCTGTCTTTAGGAGGCATAATCAGCGCTGCTGAGCATGGGCCAGCAGCAAGGCTGCCCGCTCAACCCGGCGCCTGGCCTCGCCCACCCTTCACTCAGTCTGGCCCTGCGCATCTTCTGGCCTCTGCCCAAGCCTCATGGGCTTTGGGGCAGACAGGGCAGCACAACTGAAGCCTGGGATCAGTCAGCAAGGAGGACAGCAGAGCTGTGGCAGAAAGTGGCGGGAGTGGAGGGCTCAGGGACCATGAGGGCCATCCGTGGGGGCGTCTCCATTGTGATTTGTTTAACATGATCATGCACTGTACATTCCTATCATACCTTGTGGTAATGAGCATTCACCAGCAGCAAGCTTCTAAGTCCATGACCCAGAGCACAGAGACAGTAGAAGTCACCTTCACAGGGCAAAAGCAGCTCCGAGTGGGCATGCATGCAGTGTCCAGCTTGGGCTTGCGCATCCCCCTACTGCACGGGGTCAGGGAGCCCTCACCACAGCCCCTCTGTCTCAGGGCATGAACTACCTGGAGGACCGGCGCCTCGTGCACCGAGACCTGGCAGCCAGGAACGTCCTGGTAAAGACGCCACAGCACGTCAAGATCACGGACTTCGGGCTGGCCAAGCTGCTGGGCGCAGAGGAGAAGGAGTACCACGCCGAGGGGGGCAAGGTGAGGTTGCCACAGGGCGGCGTCCGGAGCCACCCACTGTGTGTGGCCAGGGCCTGCTGTGTGGGGAGTGTCTTTTGTCATCAGCGGAGCTTCAGCCCCACCTGCCCCTCTGCACGTAGCTGCTGGGAACTCCCTAGCACCTCTGGTCTGCTCTGGAGACTGCCTGGGAGGTTCCAGAGCTGTCTGCTGCTGGCTATGGGGTCCTGCACATCTCTGAGATGTGTAACTGTCACCAGCAGCAAAGGAAGCCAATCTTCTGCCCTGCCACAGCACCTGGGGTACACAGACACCCACCAAGCCCTCCTCCCCCCACTCTGGCTCTGGCTGCACCAGCTGCTCCTCTGTTGAGCTTCTGGTCTGCAGGGCTCCAGGAACCATCAACCCTGGGGCACTGTCCCCTGAAGACCCATCCAAATGTGGGGTGCTGCGCACCCCTGGGCTGGCCAGGACCCTTAGCACTGAATAGACCTGGCCCCATAGCCCCGGACATTCCTGGGCAGAGGAGTCACTTGCAGTCGGCCTGCTGTATTTAATGACTGCAAGAGAGGGACACTAATAGCTGCCTTCCCGCTTTATCTCCCGCCACCCCAAGGTGCCCATCAAGTGGATGGCTTTGGAATCAATTTTACACCGGATTTACACCCACCAGAGTGATGTCTGGAGCTACGGTGAGTCAAAGTCCTGATGCTAATGAATTTGTACTGCGGCGAGGCTGGCTTTTATTGTTCGTTAATTGACTTTATATGCTCTGACACACAAGTATTTTCTTTCAAGACAATGATTAACAGTAATGGAATAGCCGCCTCTGCCCATGAACCCTGAATTTCCAGAGCCATCAGAAAGCACGAGAAGTACCCAAGGCAGGAGAGGTCTGGGGCTGGGCCCAGGACCTGCTGAGCAGCCTGAGTGAGCTGGGAGCCTCATGCGGGAACAGAGGAGAGGCCCATAGAGGCGTCCTTAAGGTGCGGCACTGCAGCAGAAGGGGGCCTTCCCGGCGCTAGCGCCCAGCACCCTCACGGCACCCTGCCCTGAGACACAGTCACAGTCAGCCTTTGTCTCACCTCCCAGCACTAGGCTCTCTGATTCCTTGAAGCCACCGCAGAAAGTAGGAGGCGTGCTCCCACTCCTCTCAGTCAACCAGCCACAGCCCTTGTGTGGCAGTGGAGGAGCAGCAGTGGCAGCGGCAGCAGCAGGGAATCAGCCCAGTAGCTTCCCTGGGAGAGTTGCAGGCCAACACACAGGGACAGGTCGGGAGCACAAGGGCCAGCCATTCCTCAGAACGTCCCTGCAGCATCTTCAAGTCTCCTTTTTATTTGTCTTTCTCAGTATTTACTGACTTTCTAATTTCCAAAAACATATACATTGTAATTCTGTGTGGCTCTTTTCACTAGAGAAGGTTTTAAGCATGAGTTTTGGTGTATAATAGTCTTGCACACTGGAGAATCACGCACACATCACACACGACATCTCTGCCCTCTTCTTCCCACCCAAGGTCCCTTTCCTTCTTTGGTGACAAGATCTCCCTTTCACCTGTCACCTACTTCCACCCAGCTCTTTAAATCAGTTGTATTTTGAGTTTCTCACCTAAGAGAAACCAGGAGGCAGGAGCCCTCCACGCCTCGAGGAGCAGGAGGAGATACGGCTGCACCTCTGAGCTGAGCTCCCTCAGCAGCATGCAGGAGGGGTCACCGCTGTCCCCAACCTCGGCACTGCCCGCCACGCTTGGTCTGCATGTCTGCTCCCACCCCAGCCATTTCTCGGGTCCCCTGTGAGCCTGGCCACCAACTCTCCTCTGCTCTCAGGGCTCCACCAGGCTCTGACTGCTCTGGTCCCCAGCCCTTTGCTTCTCCCTATCTTCCGCCACACTCCTATCCATGCCACAGCAGTGTGACCCGTGTGTCCATCATCTTGTTGGAACTGCATTGCTCCTGATTAGCGACCCCATGGTCTCTGGCAGTCCACAAGAGATACTGACTGTGAGCCTGGAGCGGTGGTGCACACCTGTCATCCCTGCACTCAGGGAGGCTGAGGCGAGAGGGTCACAAGTTCCCACCCAGCCTGGGCAACTTAGAGACTTAAGAAAAACCTGCATCAAAATACAGAAATGTTTTAAAAAGCTGGGGATTGGGCCAGGGAGATGGCTCAGTGGAATACACACTTGCCTGGCAAGCTCAAAGGCCTGAGTTCAATCCCCAGTTCCGCAAAAAAAAAAAAAAAAAGTTGGGGATGTGGCTTAGTATAAGGGTCCTGGATTCAGTCTCCTTACTGCCAAAAGAATTATGATAAATTCTAACACCATGATGACCCAGTGTTTCACTAAAGAGCTGAAGACAAAGTTTACGGTATGCTGAGCGCCTTCACAGATCTGGAAACACCCTTCCACCGAGGACCCAGAGGGTGACGGGAAGAGACATGAGTCTGTTTTCTGGCCCCAGGACCCTGCCATCCCTCTCTCTGTGACCCTGTGCTGCGCACAGCAGTTCAGCTGTAGACTGGCCCCCGGCATCTGAGCCAGTCTGCAGTACAGTGAGTGTCCTGTTCCAAAGTGCTTGGAGAGACCGTGATCACTGCGCATGCTGGAAGTCTCGAAACACGCGCATAGACTTCACCAGGACCCAGGTCTCTTGGGCATCACTTTGAGCCTTCCAGACGTGGGGTTTTGAGCTCCTGCTCTCAAGCTGTAGCATGTGTCTGGAGGTCAAGTCTAGGATGTGTCCCTCACCTGTGGAAACTGGGCACCTCACCAGGTCCTGGGCCTGAGGTCTGGGGTCTGCTCAGGACTCAGGCCCTCCATGGCGGCCCCCAGCAGCAGCGCAGGACACTGCACTGCCCTTATGGACAGCAGGAGCTGAGGATAGTTGGGCTGTACACGCAGAACAGAGACTACGTTAGAGGAGCCCGAGATGAGAGCCGGCTGAACAGCTGGTTGGAGAAACATCCACGCTTCACCTTGGTTAAGCAAGTTGGTAGTCGACTGAATTTGAACCAAAAGATGAGAGGCTTTATCACGGGAACAGTAGCTTCTCATTTCTCTATTTAGAGCTTTTAGCTTGCAGACTTGTTTGGAATCCCTGTCCTTCTGACCCCATGAACACAGTCACTTGGGCAGGGGGAGAACCCCCACCACCATGGCGTTAACCAGACTCCTGCGGCTGAGTCCTCAGACTTGTCTGTTGTGCTATCACCGATGCTCCCACTTGTGGGTCAGGCATTCGCTATTCCTCCCAGGTGTGCTTTCTCACTGGACCTGCACAGCCATTGTTCCAGACAGCAGCTATGGTTTCCCATTCATTAGATGGGCAAGCTGAGGCTCCAGGAGTCAAGCAAGTTGCCTGGAGCTGTAGAAACAGATTTGTAAACACTGAGAACCACCCTGATGGGTGGTCACTGTGTCACTAGGTGACTACTCTCTCTGCTTGCTTCCTCCTCCAGGAGTCACTGTGTGGGAGCTGATGACTTTTGGGTCCAAGCCGTATGATGGGATCCCTGCCAGCGAGATCTCATCCATCCTAGAGAAAGGAGAGCGCCTGCCGCAGCCACCCATCTGCACCATCGATGTCTACATGATCATGGTCAAGTGTGAGTGCGGCCCGGCAGGAAGGACCCTCTGCTCTTGACCCCACCTCCAACAGCAAGGGCTTTGACTCATTTAGGGCAGGCACCCCAGCAGAACAGCTGTGAGCACCTGCCTGCATTCTTCAATAAGTGCCCACTGGCCCCCGTGAGCTGCAAGATCCACATTCGCTTGTGTTCACAGCAAACACTGAGACCCAGTCCTCTCAAGCCCCTGCACGAGTACTCTGTTCTGCAGGCTGCTTGGAGAGCTGTGGAGCAGTGACTGGTGGGACAGGATGTTGTACAATCCTGACAGTGAGGCTGGCAGAGCCAACCATCCTGCTTTGGATGAACAAAGTGGGATGTTTCTGCAGGTCCTCTGCAGGACAGATGTAAACACCCCCAGTGGAGGACGTGAGCTATTGGCACTGCTTTTCTACTAGACTCAGTTGAGCGGGGTGACAGGCAGGACAGACCCCAGTCCTGTGAGTGGGAGCCAGCGCCCTCCTGAGCCTTACAGTGTGAGCTAACCCAGCTCTGCCCTGGTGTCAGCTGAGCTGCTGGGATGCAGAGAGATCACATGCTTTGTCCAGGGTCACATAATATCCAGCTGAAAAAAGCTCGATGCCTCTGGGGAGAGAGCAGGGTCTCTGGAGAGGCCAAGGAAGCCAGGACAGCTACCCTCCAGCGCACAGGGTTGGGACACAGGTCCTCGTGTGCCCAGTGCACTGAGGCTGTGAGCGGGAACACTAGCACTGGCACCCTGAGTTCGACCCCCAGCTCTGCAGAGCAAGTAATGTACAAGCAGAGGTGGAGGTAGCTGGGTCCAGCCTCTTTACAAGGTGCTGCCTGGGTGTGGGATGCGGAGACACCACACACACACACACACACACACACACACACACACACACACACACACCAACAGGGCAGACTCCAGCTTCCAGTGCTGTGCTGCTCCTTCGGATCCGATCTGGCTCATGGCCACCAAGGGAGACAGGAAGTGAGGGTGGGAAGCTTGGGCCCAAAGGCAGGCCAGCCACTGTGATCACAAAGCAGCTGCACGTGTGACATGGCTCGTCACAGGGGATGCTGGGAAGAGCAGGAGCCGGCCTGGGGTGAGTGGGCTGCTCTGACCCAGACATCACTGCCTGAGCTCTGTGACAGCAGGCAGTGCAGGGGCCCGAGCCAAAGGCCCCCTCGAAGGTTGAGTTCCCCGTTGTGGACTTGTGCAGCAGCACTGCACAGAAGTACTTTCTTCTCAGAGGGACGACAACTTCTTTTTTCCTTTTTGGGAGTTATTAGCACCTACTAATTGCGTGAACCTGCAGAATTTACTGGGTTGTTTCTGATGCACACGCGTCGTGCAGTGATCGCCCCACCCACCCTTCTCTGCATGACCTTCCCCCTGCTCCACCTTCCCCGTCCCAGAAGTCTCTGACCCTTCCCTCACCCTCCACCACATCCTGAGCCCACCACTCCATTCTCATTTACACGAGGCCGACTCGCTGATTTCCACAAACCACAAGGAAGTGTGCTTCCCGTCTGTGCCTGCTCCTCACTCGATGTAACGATCTCCAGCTCTGTGCCCGGCTGGCTGCAATGAGCAGGCGTTCACCTACTTCTACTGGAAGTCCACCACATTGCTTCATCCACTCATCCAGCAAGGACACCTGGGGTGTTCTGCATTTGGCTATAGATTTTGTATCCTTCAGGTGTGAGCCCAGTTATAGACTGCTGGGTCCCATTCTAGCTTAGTTTTTGAGGAGTCTTCATCTTGGCTTCCACGTGGCTGTCCTAATTTACTATCCCACCCATGACCCTGAAAACCTCCTCTTCTCCACAACCTGACCAGGAATTAAATCCTTGAATTGCACACAAGTTCAACTGACCTCCTCTTCTCCTGTCCTGTCTTTGAGATACAAGCCATTCTAGCAGAGAAGATGTCCATTTCTCTAATGATTAATGAAACTCAGCATTTTTCATATATTTGTGTAAATATGTTTCTTGGGAAATGTTTGGTTCTTTGCCCATTTTTTACCTGAGTTGTTTATTTTGTAGGGTTTTACGTGTGTGCAGCTTTCAGGATCTGACTCTTTGTTGGTTGCACTATCTGCAAATACTTTCCTTCTTCAGTCAACTGACTCTTGTTGATTGTCACTGTTCTGCTGTTGGTGTTCTGCTGCTGCTGTTTTTCTTTTAGCTTGATGTCTTCCTATTTATTATTTTAGCTTTATTCTCCAATAGTGAGGATTAAAGCCGAGGCCTTTGCACCAAGTTATACCCCAACCCATTTTATTCATTTTGAGACAAGGTCATACTAAGTTCTTTGAGCTGGGCTCAAACTTGGAGTTCTTCCATCTCAGCCTCCGACAGTACTAGGATTATATATTTTTACTTTTGTTTCCTGTTTCAAGGGTCATAATTTTAACACTGTTGGCTACACTAGTGTCTTAAAAACCTTGCATTATAGTTTCTTGAAGTAATTTCAGTTTTTTACACCTAAGTTTTAGAGTTTTAACCCATGTTGAGTTGAATTTGTGTGCAATTCAAAGATTTAATTCCTGTCTTCTGCACATCTTGCCTGTGCTGTTTATGGAAGAGATTGTTTTCTCCCCAGTGTGTGTTCCTGGTGGCTCCGTCACAAATCAGCAGTTGTGTAAGCGTAAGCACCTGGGCTTTCAGTCCTGGTCACTGGGGCTGTGTTTGCTCTTACACCTGCTGTGCTGTTTCAGTAACCATGACCGTGTGGTGTATTGTGAAATCAGGACGTAATGCTGCTGGACTGTGTTTGTTTGCTTGCTTGCTTGCCCTCCTCAGGAGTGCTTTGGCTGCTCTGGGACTTCTGTGACATAAATGCTGCCTTTAAGAAATCTTCTTAGCTACTTTTTCACAGCTGGGACAAAGTACACAACGCATGCAGCTTAAAGAGAAGAGGTTTACCTGAGCTCACAGTTAGTAGGGGTCAGTCCATGGCCACGCAGCGCAGCAGGGCAGAGCAGGTATGCTCACGGCGTGCTGGCAGAGGCAGGAGAGAAGGGAGCTGTGGGGAGGGACTTGGACCTCCAGGGCACTTCTACTGGAAGCCCCCTTCTGGCCAGGTCATCTTTTCTTGCCCCACAATCCAATCACTGTGACCACACAGGGCTCTTGGAGGGCATCCGGATATAAAGCATGGCAAGCGCCATCTTTATCACTTCTTCCAGGTTCTCACTGCTCTCCTTCTCGCTCGCTCCCTTCTCAGGCTGGATGATAGATGCAGACAGCCGCCCAAAGTTCCGAGAGCTGATTGTGGAGTTCTCCAAAATGGCCCGAGACCCCCAGCGCTACCTTGTCATTCAGGTACCAGGCAGAACTTGCGTGTCCCCTCTGTTGGGCACCACGTCACCGCGCCCCACCCTTAGCCTGTGTCCTCCATCACTTTATCAAACTCCACGGTGCTTGGCTCCATAGGTGGGGTGGTGGCACTGGTCCCACCAACTCTGCTAGGGGCCACGGCCAGTCTCAGCCAAGGCACAGACACACGCAGTGGGGAGCAGTGGTACACCGCAGAGTGCTGTAGGGCTTGTGTCACAGCCACTCTGGAAACAAGTCTGGTCAGTCCCAGCACTCAGGAGGCCGAGGCAAGAGGGCCTCTGTGAGTTCAAGGCCAGCATGGGCCACATAAGCAAGTCCAAGGTCAGCCTGCACTACACAATGAGACTCCTTCTCAAGAAAACAAAAATATCAAGACGCAGTACAGTGCAGTAGAAATGTGCCACGTGTGATGACAGCCGCAGTCCCCACACTCTGAGAGGCAGGACCGGAGGACAAGCACCAGCTCAAACCCAGCCTGGGCGTTAGCTCCCTCAGGAGGCTGTCTGTGACTGCGAAGCACTCTGAACATGCTGGCACAGTAGAAAGGCTGAGCACAGAGCCCCTCAGGTATGGCTGGGAAGCAGAGGGCAGCCCAGGCCTGGCTAACTGTCACCTCTCTGCACAGGGGGATGAGCGGATGCACTTGCCGAGCCCCACAGACTCCAATTTCTACCGTGCCCTGATGGACGAGGAGGACATGGAGGACGTCGTGGATGCCGACGAGTACCTCATTCCACAGCAGGGCTTCTTCAGCAGCCCGTCCACCTCCCGGACTCCCCTCCTGAGCTCTCTGGTAAAAAACCTCCCAACCTGCCCTCCCCTCCCTCCTGCTGTCTCATGTTTTGAACACATCAGCTTTTGAGAAAATGACAACCTAGATCTAGTGAAACTCACATAATGAGAAAGAAGTAAAATTTTAACTGAACAGTAAAGCCAAAATCAAAAACAATCAAGCACGGGCACCAATGGCTCTGTGCGCCATATCCACTGGACTACCCTGCCCTGCTGGGGTCACTGGGAAATCAGCCAGGCTGCCTTCCTGGGAAGAGCATGCCAGTCAGGCACATCCCCGCCCCACCCATGGGTGCCCCCCGCCGTGTCTCGAGGTGTGGGTCCCCAGTGTCCCTCAAGGCCTCTGTTTCTCTTTCAGAGTGCGAACAGCAACAACTCCACTGGAGCTTGCGTGCCTAGAAATGGGGTAGGTGACACAGGCCACAGAGCAGAGTTGCGCAGCCACACCGCACCTGTGCAGCCCTGCCACGCATGCAAGGCCTCCGTCCAGGCTCAGATCCCTCATGCTTTGTCCTGCTTCCTTTTCCTCCAGCATGGCTCCCTTCCTGCGCATGCTGTGGCTGGCAGTCAGCGGCCACATGTCACACTGCCATTCAGTGTGGCACCTGGACCATAGGTCAGCGTCAGCCCATGGCTTGCTTGTTAGAGACATCAACTCTCAGCCAGGCATGGCGGCGCAGCCCTGTAAGCCCAGTGCCCTGGGGGGCAGGGGCAAGATGATCACCCCTGTGAGTCCAGCACCCTAGGAGGCCGAGGCAGGAGAATCACAGGTTCAAGCCAAGCCTGAACAACTTAATGAGGCCCTGTCTCCAAATAAAAAACAAAAAGGCTGAGGGTGTAGCTCAGTGCCAGGCCCTGAGGGTGACGCCTGTACCACAAGAGAAAGGGCACTGTAGATCCTCAGCCCCCAGCCCAACCTGCTGAACCAGGGTCTTCGGAGGAACCATCAGCCTGTTTCCTCCAGCTGTCGGCAGGTGCTGGGCATGGAGCATTTGAGACTTCCATGTGGCACTGAAGCTTGAAAGTTAACTAAGGTGCAGAAGGAGCTACACATGGCTCCTTGTGCATGTGATGTGTGCATGGCTGTTGGCACGTCCACGGCAGAGCACCTCCAGCACTGGGGGTCCCCACCCTTGGGTCTGCCCCAGCCCCCAGCCTGAGTCTCCGGCAGTCCAGGGGGTGCTTATCCCCAGTGAGGTGAGGGACGGTGCCAGCATCACCTTGCCTGCCTCCCCACCCCCACAGAGCTGCCCTGTCAGGGGTGACGGCTTCCTACAGCGCTACAGCTCAGACCCCACTGGCGCCCTGGCCGAGGACAGCCTGGATGACGCCTTCCTTCCTGCACCCGGTGAGTGGTGGCCTGGAAAACCATTGGCCCACAGCCTCCCTCCCTGGGCTGTCATGGTAGTGGGGCAAACTCCAGGCCCATTGGGAGGAAGAAGCAGCTAAATCTGAAAGGTGGAGCGCGTGAGGCCTGGGTGTGGGTTTGGGCTTTGCAGCTGTTTGCTGTAGGTTTGTTTTAGAAATAGGAGTTTTGAGGGGTTTTTTTGCTCCAAATGCCTTCAGGGCAGGTTTGGCTGGCTTGAGTTATGGAGATCGAATCACAGCAACCTGAGCCTGACTGCTTTGTTGAAGCAGCCACTTAAAGAGCTGAGCTAAGAGGCAGGCCTCCTTGTTTTAGAAATAGATCCACAGATTTTCTGGAGTTTCAAGCAAACAACAAGGACAACTCCATATATATGCATGTGTTCCTGTACATACACCATGCGTGAATATGTGTTTGTGTAGGGGCTGCAGGTGTGCACATATGACAGACGTTCATGTCCTCTCACCTGGCTCTGTGCTCGGTCTGAGAAATACATGTTTTCCCGATCTAAACTTTAGCTCCAGACATTTCCAAGCTGTGCACTTGTGCTCCTGCACACACACATGCAGGCAGTCCTCTGAGAACTTGTGCAAGGTGTTCATGGGTCCATGGTGACCCCAGAATTCTGCCCTGGGGTCCTGGGGCAGGACTCTGCAGCTGATCTTGCCTGGTCCTCTTTTCAATTTCAGAATACATAAACCAGTCCTTCCCCCAAAGACCTGCAGGCTCCGTGCAGAACCCCATCTATCACAATCAGCCCCTGCACGCCACTCCCAGCCAAGACCCCCACTACCAGAACCCCCACAGCCATGCTGTGGGCAACCCCGAGTATCTCAACACCTCGCGGCCAGCCGGTGTCAGCAGCACCTGTGACGGCCCCACCCCCTGGACCCAGAAGGGCAACCATCAAATAAGCCTGGACAACCCGGACTACCAGCAGGACTTCTTTCCCAAGGAAGCCAAGCCCAACGGCATCTTTAAGGGGCCCACGGCTGCAAATGCAGAATACCTGCGGGTGGCCCCACCAAGCAGGGAGTTCATCGGAGCGTGATGGTGGAGTGCAGCCACTCCAAGGGTCAGCCTCTTCAGTCATCCAGGACCAAGCCTCGAAGCTGCTCCACCTGGCCATGCCCTGCCCAGCGAAGATGTGGACCGGAGTGGTTCATAAGCAGCTGTCCCTGCCTGTCAGCCAGAAGTCCTCCACCTCAGATGGGCTGAGGAGGCTGCAGGTACATTCCTCTGACTCCAAACTGTGAAGTTTCCACAAAATGCACTGGGCAAGAGTGCTGGCATTTGAGCGGCAGTTTACCTTTTGGTGAGGTACATTAGAAAAAGAATAAAGATACATAGGAGTGTGACCCGTTGGGGGTCTTTGGGATTTCTGGATGCCGTGCCTGGTTTTGAGTTGATGGGCCCAAGGAGGAAGCCCCTGCACCTGCTGCGCTGAGGCCAGCCAGGCCAGCTGTGACCAGGGAGCCTGGGCCTCAAGCCTTCCAGCCACCACTGTATTCCACTTTTGGAACCAAGGAGGCCAGGTTACCAGGGAGCCCTGCATGTCCTTGGCAGGTTTGCTTGGCGCTGACTCAAATTATGGCAGGTACCTGGGACGAGCCACCTGGTTCCTTCGTGGGAGAAGAGGCCGAAGGAAGGGTTAGAATGCGCCGTCAGACTCACACTTGCACGAACGTCACCCTGGTACGACCCCATCAGCGCACAGTGTTTCCTGACTATGAGTATTAGCCGTGTCTGTTTCCCATTCTGTTGTTTTGTAACTCCTGCACTTTCCCTGTCTTGGTGCCACGAAGTCGGCAGACGCAGACGGTACACCCACGAATAGCTCAGATTCTGTATTTGGTCCACTAATGTTCAGACCAATCATCTATAATTAAGACAAAGAAATTGCAAGAGTTCACCCAAGAAACAAGAGTCAGATTTCTTTCTTATTTTTGGCAGTACCAGGACCTGAATCTGGCACTCTCGCCACGCTGCATCCCCAGCACCATTTTATTTTTCAATTTGAGATAGCGTCTTGAGAAGAGCCCCAGCTGGGCTGGAACCTGCAGTTCTCCTGCCTCAGCTTCCCAGAGTGCTGGGATTACAGGTGTGCACCAGAGCAGCCAAATTTGAGTCTCAGATGAAATGTTCAAGTCCTTTGGGTGAATTTCATGAGATTACAAAACCCTGCTCTGAAAACTCACTTTGCCTACACCCTTCTCCAAGCACAAAGTTCTAGGCCACTCACGGAGACAATCTTTTCATTCTTCCTTAAAATATTTGCTGGAAGGATGCGCATCCTCCTCGGCAGCTGCCCCAGGTGCCCTCTGTCTGTGCACTTGGTGAGAAAGCGTCAATGTCTAAGGCACCAGGCAAGAGCTGACAGCCTTGGTGGGTGCACCACACCAATGTCCAACAGGCAGTGTGAGGAAGCTAGACTTGAAATGGACAACAGTATTTTCACGCAACGATGGGAGCTTGAAGGGGGCAGTCCTTCTAGAAGAATTTCCCTACAATTGGAGGATCCACTAGTTAAGTTTTTCACACTTAGTCAACATCTACCCCTTCTACTTTAGCAGGGAAAAATCCCTAACTGTAAGAAATTCATGAGGTAACAAGGAAAATGGGTTAATAGCTACTAACTGTAGAACACGCAGACGGCCGCGACCCTGAGAGACACAGCAGGCAGGGTGTGTTCTGCCTGTGGAGCGGGCCTGCAGAGGAGTAGGGCCTCACGGCTGAGTGTGACCCCAGCAGCAGGGAGCCTGGCCCTGTGGGACAAGACTGCCCTGAGCCCCTGAGCCCGCGGGCCGCCCCCTGTGGGATACAGCTCAGCTCTCATCCTGAACAGTGAGGACGGAACACTGTTTCTCAAATCTGAGACTTCAAAGCCCCGTCTCTATGGATTCACCACTGAAGGTAATGAACGAGTCTGCACAGGGTTAGGAAGTGAAGGACTCGAGGTCTTCTCTCTTACTCCCAAGAGGCACTAAGGAGGGAGAGTTAGGCTCGAGCCAGCCCCGTTGTGGCCATGAAGCCCTAGTATTTTTGTACTTTGAAATGCTCTCCTATAACACAATAAAATAGTCAAGACTGCTCAAGCTTGCTTTTCCTCTCCGTTATATTTCAGTCTTCCTGCACAAAGCTTTGTTGCTATTAATCTTGAGATTGTATTTTCCCACCCTCCCCTCTGCCTGTCCGGAGGCATGGCCAAGGGGCTGTGCAGCCTGAAGCTCCTCCAGGGGCCAGGACCACTGTGCTTGCCTGTCACAGCCCTGACTCTGCCCTGCCACCCTTCCTCAGAAACAGCAGTGCCTGCGGCCGTCGAGAGCACCCATCTGTCATCTGTTCCCGCGTCAGTTCCCTGCTGCTGGGGTCGCATCCTGCCTCGGGACTGCTCTCCGGGAGCACAGTTGGGAGTGAGCATTTTTGCTGGACTAAGCCTCACATAACTAAGCAGTCTCTATCATTCTGCTCCCCGCAAAAGCACCTTGGCACCTTGCGGCTTGAAAGAGAGCTGAGGGGGCCGAGGAGATGGCTCAGTGGAATAAGCACTTCCCTGGCAAGCACAAGGGCCTGAGTTCAATCCCTGGTTCTGAAAAAAAAAAAAAAAGAAAGAAAGAAAGAAAGAAAGAAAGAAAGAAAGAAAGAAAGAAAGAAAGAAAGAAAGAAAGAAAGAGAGCTGACTCTTTCACACTCGCAGTCTGCTGGGGCGAGGCTGTCTCTGCTTTCTAAATGGGAGCTGGGAGACATCTGCTGCACCCAGCTGTGGGCCCACCCCCAAGACTCTGGAAGGTCCTGTTTGTTCTCCCCACCCAACCCCAACTGCAGGCAGCTCTGGGCACTGATTCCAGGCCTGGCTGCCTGGGGAGCACTCTGCACCCAGCCCAGAGAATTCATGGTGGGTTTTCCTCGGGCACGGCCTGGGCCAGGGCTTCTGGGAACACTCTGGATTATTCTGACATGCTCAGAGAATCCAGCCCCACAGTGTGGAACAGAGGACTGGTTGCTGGGCCCCACCCAGTCCTCCTAGTTAGCCTCTGGGTGGAGTGCGACTGCTGCCCCCCTGCTGCTCTGAAGAGCCCAGGAGCCTGAAGGTGGGGTTGCAGTCCTACAAAACAACTCAGTCAGTGTCTCGGGGCTCCCCCAGACAAGGCCCAGTATGCGTCCAGAACTGATTCTGGCAGAGCCAGCATGGAGTCCACACCTGGGCCCCAGTCAGCAGATTCCCAGGGCCGCAGCCTGAGACTGGCCCCAGCTGTCCTTCCCAGAGCCAGTGCACCTGTCTCCAGCCACTTACCCTGAGACTGGCACAGGTCCAAATCTGAGCCTGGATAAGCCCTGAGACACCACATGTTCTAAGAAGAGAGTTATAAAAACTGGCCTCCACCCTCGCCCTGCAAGGAGCTGTGCCCCTCCATCTCTCCTGATAAGCACAAAATGCTTATTGTATCATGATCTGCCCTGGTTCCCTGCCGGGGGCTGTAAAGCCCTAACTGAAGAAATCCTCGCCCTAGTCCCAGCCACACCTGCCCTAGTCCCTGAGCAGCGTCTTGGTATTGTTGAAGACACATGTAGACAGGATTTTTAAACATAGATCTATTTTTGTAACTTTTTGAAGGTTATTGTCCTCTTTATGTAGCACTAAAGTGTAAAATGTATTTTTAGAAAACTCATTTTTCTACTAAGGGCAACAGTTTACTTTAGAAAGACTGCAATAGACGTAAAATTTGAAATTTTTGCTTACAAAGGTTAAATTGAAGCAAGAGAAGTCTCCTCTCTTAGGGAAAGGTGGAACTGTGCTGTAGAGCTGTGCTAGGTCACTGCCATGCAGGTAGAAGATACCCGCAAAGGTAGAGAGGAGGAAGCAGCGTCCTGGCTCAGGTTGGCTGGAGGCAGGTTCTGTGTCTGTCAGAGACAGCAGAGGGCTTGTGCAAGAGGAATCCAAACACACACTGTCCTCTCCTCTCATGATGCCCCTTATGTGCACAGGAAAAGCAATAGTAGAACTCTTTGTTGATGTAGCTATACTAATCAGATTTAATGCAAAGTGTTTTGTTTTATTTTTATATGTAAAACTTTTATTCATTGACCAGTACAAACTGGAAGTTTTGGGAGCGCCATAAGCTTACATGTGGGCCCTGGGCACCCCTGAAAGCCATCCAACCAGCTGCCCAGAGAGCGGGTCCTCAGAGGCTGCTCCTCAGGCCCGGGAGCTGAGCCTGAGACCCCCTACACATGCAGCCCTCAGGAGTGAACACAGGCCTCAGCCTTTAGTGAAGCTCCCAAGGCCAAGGCAGTGTGCAATCCATGCCGAGACCTGCCATCAGGGACAAGCCCAGGGCCCTGCAGATGAGTGACTCCCAGACCCCGAGATGTCTGATGTCTGCCACAAAGATTTCTGTATCCTCCCTGGGAGTCAAGCATCTGGACAGAGCTCCCAAGACTGCTACCCAAGTGCAGGAGGCCAGAGTGACTCCCGCAAATGGAAGCAGAGGAAGCCTGAGACAGAACCCCGTGGGGCACTTGCAAGGCTCGCTCTGTCTCCTAAAGGTGAGCTGGTGGTAAAATAAAGCCAGCAAGTGTCCCTGCTGCAGGTACAACCTGCACTGCTGCGTTCCCTCTAGCAGCCAAATAAGCATTGTCCCACAGTGAGAGAAAGCCTCCCTGTCAGTGTTGAAGCGCAAACCTCAAAGATCAATAGGTGTGAGGCTTATGTAGAGCAAGAATCTTCTTGTGTTAAGAAACATTTTTAATACTTTGGTCATAAACTATACCTGGAATAAAAACAGAAGCCATTGGGCTGGTGAGATGGCTCAGTGGTCTAAAGCACCTACTTAGAACAAGCTGAGCTAAGCAAAAGCACAGGGACCGCGGTTCAATCCCCAGCACCACATGCCAGCCAGCCCCGCCACCAGGCCACACACACACACACACACAAAATAAATAAATAAATAAATAAATCACAGAAGTCATTGACTGAGTTTGCCTTCCAAGTACACATGCAGAATCGCCACAAGCGCCCTGAGCTCAGAGCTATGCTGCCCCCGTCACTAGGGGATCCCACTCCACAAAAACCTGATTTGATGCAAAGTGATCTTTCAATATAATATAGTCTCTTGGAACTAAAGAGACCCTGTGGGTGTGCTGGCCACTACTGGAAGGGCCTTGTGAGAGGTCAGCCCCAGGCAGCGAACCCAAGCTTGGGTGAGCACCAGCACCCAAGCAAGAGCTATGCAGCTTCCTGACGCAGCGCCCCTTAGCCTTGCCAAGTTTCACAGTGTTGAACGCAGCGTTTGTACAAATGGAAAGCAAGACTCCTTTCTGTAGTCTGTACTGTGGGTCAGAACATGCTGGCTGTATACTGAGTGTGAACATTAGGTATACATTATGCACTGCTCTCTACTCCTAAGTGCCTTACAATAATGTTGTGCTCTTTGTTAAAAATACAGTGATGATTTCAATTCTTATTCATATCTGACTGTCTGTAGACATTATTTCTTAATAATGCTCCTCTTATTCACTGTAGTACTAGAGAACGAACCTCTGGTCTTCACACTGAGCTACGTCCTTAGCGCCTTGCTAAGCCACTAAGTTGCCTCAGCTGGGGGTGACGTTGCTGTCTTCCTGTCTCAGCCTCACAGCGCGTGGAGGTACAAGCATGAGCTACCTTGCCCAGGTCTTATTTATTTGTTTATTTTCCAGGCCTCAGGCACACTAGGCAAGAGCTCTGCCGTGGAGCCAAACCTCACCCCCTACTAGAACTTTGTAAAAAGCTAATTAATAAGCTTCACTTTAGAGCAGCTTCAGGGTCACAGCAAAGCTGAGCAGATGGTTTAGGGAGCTCCTGAGGCCCTCCTGGACCCACTGCACTCAAACACAGCCCCTGCTGTTGCCATCCTGAGCACAGGAGCAGGTGATTTTTCTGAGGAACAGTGGGCCAGAACTGTGGTGTCACTGGGTCCTTCGTAATCAAGTGCTCTCCAGCTGTAGCTACCTGTGCTCCACACAAATGGGTGCTGGGCTCCCTGCCTCTCTGCAGCCTGTCCACATACCTTCCTGGGCAAGAGTAATCGAAACTGCACTTTGGGAGGCTGAGGCAGGAAGATCACCAGTTTGAGTGGAGCCTGGGTGACTTGGGAGACTTTGTCTCAAAATTAAAACTCTAAACAAAGGACTGAGGAGAGAGCTCAGTGTAAAGATACTGGTTTAATTCTCAGGACCTGAAAACAACAACAAAAGTGTTTCTAGTTATCTGGGAAAAGGCTTCCCAAGGGGAGGGCACCTAAGAAGGAGTGTGGAATCGCCCTTGCTTGAGTCAGGCATGGCATCCCCATGGGAGGAAGCCCAGCCCCTCCAGCTCAGCCTTGCAGGCCTCCCCAAAGCTCTGAGAACCCCCCCCCCACATAAACAGTGGATGCCTATGGGAAAGACTGGTGAGCATCACGTCCCACTAGTACCCAGAGACCCCCAGGAGCTTGGAGATCAGGGCCCCAGGCCTTCTGCCTGGTCCTCTACTCTCAGGAAGCCAGCCTCTGGGCACTACCAGAAGCTAGAATGTACCTTTGACTCACAAAGCCAGCCCTGCTGAGCCACATGCCAAATCCACCCCTCACCCCCAGGACAGATGGGCCTGGCTCTGCAGGAGGCTCAACCTGCAGGGCAGAGCCACCCCTCCTTGGGCCTTGGGGACCAGCCTGGGGCAAGGGTGCCCTGGTCTGCCTCCCAGCATGCAGCAGAACAGCCCTGAGTGAGGACTCTCTTCCTCCCACCTGCCCAACCCAGAGAGGGTACAGTGATGGAAGGATGGAGGTAAAAAGAGAGGGTTCTTCCACCCAGCAGAGTGCTTGGCCAGAAACAAAAGGGGTTCCCTCCCAGCTAACAGAATCTGCTGCTGAGAAAAAGCGGGGCCACACCCCAGGGCTGAAGGCCCGCTTCCCTGGGTGCACCATCCCCTCTTTCTTCAAGCCATGGTCCCATTTTAAACTCAGTAGAGCCTGGCCTAGCAGTGCATGCCTGGAATCCCAGCACTCTGGGAGGCTGAGACAGGAAATCTGCAAGTTCAAGCTTAGCCAAGGCAACTCAGTGGCATAGTGAACTCCTGTTTCAAAATTTAAAAATAAGTAAAAAGGGCTGGGGATGTAGCTCAGTGCAGAGGCCCTGGCTTCAGTCTCCAATTCTAGAGAAAAAAAAATCCAGAAACCTCAGAACTTCCAGTGCTGTCGCTCTGAAGGAAGTGGAGGCTCAAGGAAGGAGGATCTGTGCCCTTTCTCCTCCAGAAGGGGAAGAGAGGCCCGCGTCTCTGTCCTCGCCCCTCTCCCTAGAGCGCTCTTCCTCAGTCCTTCCCTGCTGCACTCACCGTTCAGGAGACCAGCAAAGGTACTTGAAGTTAAAACAAGGCCCCTCACACTTGCGAGCACAGGAACATGACTTGAAATTGTCACACCAAGAGGGGCAGTGTTTGATAGAATCCAGTCGTGCTGCTG